GAACCAGATTTTCTTGCCGTCTGATTAAATTCAGAGACACAAGAACCCGTTTCTTATCTGTCCGAGCTCCATCGATTTTTGTCTGTTGCCATGACAGCGGACGGTCCCACTCGTTTTGTGAAAGCAGCACCGCCTCATCACTTTGACCCTGGTCAGACAGTACTGACTCGTAACGCTCGCCGTTTCCTTTCAGTCCGAGCCCTCAGACTTCCGATCACACTCGTCTCTGAGCGGGAAGAAAAGCCTCCAGTTATTTTTATTCGTCTCCTCAGGTTTTCTTCTTTTTCCTGTATTTTATAAGTATTACATGTCAGGTTTAAGCATTTCAGCCTCTCTGAACTCTCTGCTGCCGAGTCCACTCAGTGCTTCGTTGGTGATGTTATCATGTTTCTCCTTTCACAGGCCGTAAATAACAAATACAATACAGTAAGAAGAGTTTACAGCCAGAAACCTCAGATATTCTGGCACAAATGTGGCTCACACCTGCAGCTTGACTCGGCGTGCCACAGGTCCACCTTATGTGGCAGATGTCAGGTGTGTTTATACCACATATACACTCTCCACTTTTTTGGTATATGTGTCCAACTGCTCGCTAACACAAATATCTACTCAGCCGGTCACATGGCTGTGTGTTTGGGTATAAGGGCATGGTCAAGACGACCTGCTGAAGCTCTCACTGGGAGGTTCCCACAACCATCTCTAAGGTTTAAACAGAACAGCCCCCCGAAAGAAGGGGGATACACCCAGTGAGCAGCAATCACCCCAAGCCTGTTGGTATCCTTTATTTATCCAGGTAAAGTCTCACTGAGATGAAACTCTAACTCAGATATTTAGATGTTACATCCATGCTGAAGAGCATCTCTGAACATGCAACACATCAAACCTTGAAGCGTGAGAGGACCACAGTGGAGGAACACCCTGGAGGTGGTTGCATCTCAGCTTAATTACTCCATCCAGTCACTCTGCGGGGTTACGTCCTCGCCGTGCGGCTGCACGCAGAGCCCAGTGACCCAGTGAGGAGACTGGATCCCTGCTGGGCAGGAAAATGTTTGGTTTTATGTGGCACTGGTCTGAGAAGACATTGGCCTTTCCTTCTTTGGGTTCCCTCCCTCTTCGCCTTCTTTCCTCTCTGGGATGAATAATTTACTGGTTTCCTCCCTCTCGCCATCTCTGCGCTGCAGCGAAGGGCTGATGCAGAGCGGTGATGCTCGCTCTGCAGCCTGTGGGAAGCTCTTTATTATCCCGTGAACGTCAAAGAAGGAATCTTATGAAACTCTCCTCACGGGAAATGTTGTCCATAAAGTGGACTTCTCCACTATTCCTTATTTCCATACGTGTGCTGTTCCAGTGGTGGATGCTCACATCAAACATGGTCCAAATTTCAATTATTGAGGTTACATTTTGTACTGAGACAAACTCTCTAAGCTCCGTGCTGTTCTTACCTTCTGTTTGTGGGGGGCAGCCAATCAGAAGACAGCTTCCTTGATGGAGGAGGAGCTAACTGAGCTTCTTTAAGGCAGAGAGTGAGCTGCTTTGATGGATCCAAAATAATCTCAGGAGCAGCTCCAGGTGGAGCCTTCGTCTGATGGACTCCTCTGGGTGGAGGAGCTGCGTTATACCTCCATATCGTTAGCTCCATAGCATAAGTGCCTAAGTCATTTTTTGGTCAAATTGAGATTTTTGCCTAACTTTACTCCCCTACCACTGCTGCATCATCCTGTCCGTCTGCCTATGTCATCACAAAAAAATGACTTAGGCACTTATGCTATGAAGCTAACGATATGTGTCCTCCACACTCAGAAGCCACGTGGTGATTTGTTGGATTTATCATTTATGCTGAGTCGTGAATCTCCTGGACTGTGACTGAAGCTCGGAGCTGACAGACAAAGTCGTTTTTCACGGCGGTTTGATTCACGACGACCTCAACTGAGCGAGCACTGAATCACACGGCGGCCTCACGTGTTCGCATCACGGAGGTTAACACACACCAGAGCACCATCACCTCTCGTGGAAGGAGGTGCGTCAGTCGGTTTTATTACTTAGTGACATTTAATTTATGTGCTAATGAAAAGTCTACAGCATATCCCTCACGGATACAGCAGCGCTTAAAAGGATGATTGTCTGCTGGTGGGAGCCCGCTCATCCCATCCCCGAACCAAACTGGGTCACAGAGTTCGTGGAAACTTTATCCGCAGCAAAATGAAGTGAGACATCCAAGTAGAAACAGAAAATTTATTCTGTGAGACACGTTTAAAGTGTCTGTCCATTTCTCAGTCTCATTTTGATCTCTTAGAAAGCCAAACGGCAGCTTTTAGTTACAGCTGATTGGTTTATTAAAGGTGGGCGTGGCACCCTGAAGCCGGTGTTCACAGACATCAGTGAACGCTCAACATCAGTGCCGCCGACTGAAGCTGTTGGCCGAGAACACCCAACCCCACCCTGTCGGTGAAGCACAGGCCTGGATCAGGAGCATATCCACAATGAGATGAGCGCATTGTGGTCATAAAGAGATGGAGATGGTCAGCTTTTAAACGATGCTCAGCTGCTTCTAAGAAGGCCAAGAAAATATCTCCACAACTTTACAGCACCAGCCTGAGCCGCTGGTCCTACACCGCAGAGATGATGAAGTTACTAACGATCCCAGTTCTTCTGAAAATAACCTAAATAAATTTATACCAAAGATAAATCTGCTGGCAGCTGACAGTCATTTTTATCTAGCACAGATTTTCCCAATATGTGTATTAACCTCCAAACTGCAGTTCCTGTGATCTCCACTTGAGGCAGTGAGTCAGACCCTCAGAGTTAAATTGTCCAAGTTTACAGCAGAAATAAACGTTTTTTGGTCTTTGTATCTCATCTCAGCGCCGTAATTTAAAACAACAACAGTCATCATTGTCCACATAAAGCTAAATAAAGTGACTCTGCTCAGTTTCCCGCCCCCCCCCCCCCCCTCCTCCTCCTCTCTTTGTCTGTGCAGCTGAAGAGTCGGCCACATCATGCAGATATGACACAGCAGCCTGTAACACCTTTAATTATTCAGCGGCTGGATTTCTGACAAACGCCTTGCTCAGAGTCGCCGTGGGTGGCCCGAGGTCTGCGAAGGCCCAAGCATATGATCCACATCATCTTCATCACACCAGTCAGTGAGCCCTCGCGTCCTGTGGAGGGGGACCGCTCCATCAGGCTGGAAATACTTCATCAGTGAGGACAGAGGCCATCACTCAGGACGCCCTGCCAGCAAAAAACCCTCTCACTGCACAGGTCACCCATTCAAGGTTTTTCCTTTAATTTGTCACCGCTCCACAGACACAGACTGTGAACGTACATACAGTTTTCCTTATTTATGACAGAAGTCTCAA